TTATTCTAGAAAATAGAAAATTGTGAGAATGTTTTCCATTTTTAGTGCGAACACCTAGGCTACGCTTAATCGGATGAGGCGCAAGTCAGGAGTCGAGCGCTTGCCTTACGCCTAGCGCCTTTTTGAACCTTGACTCAGTGGGACCTGGTTGTCAATCTTCTCTTTTAGAAATTGAATATCCTGACATATGACAGATATTTCTCCCTGCAATATATCAACCATGTTACCACGGTCCATCAAAAATTCCAGCAACTTAGAATTCTCCTCTGTTACCTCTTGCAGGATCTTTGATTCCTATACAACTTTCGCCATGACTGATTGTTCTTTAGAGAGAGCTTTACAAGTAGACTCTACCCTCTCTTGTTTCTGCTTCTCAGCCGCTGGTAGCAGCTCCTCAGCTGCAGTCAATCGTTCTCCTAGTGCCCGATGCATCTCATTTATAATAGTTATAGCAGTATCCCTTTCCTCTGACAAATTGCAACTCTTTAACTACCTTTGCTAGGATCGTCTTCTCACCATACACTTCTCCCGCATGCATATCATTTGTCTCCTCTGCAGGTAAAAGCATTTTTTCAGCTCCTCAACCTGCACTTGTATGTCCAGACCAACTGTTGCAACTTCCTGTTCAGATTGTTCCACTTCTTTTTCTTTAACGGCTTCATCTTTATCATTAATCTCTTCAGCTACAGTTAGCTGAAAACAGTAGGTATCCTGAACTGATGACTCAACAGCAGACTTAACATCAAGAACAAACATTATATTTGTCTTCATGCTTGTTTGAAGTAACAAACCCTTGACACTATGAAAGATTTTGCATCCCACTTGATTAATCAGAATGGTTAGACCTCTCTCTTGCATATGCCCTATACTGAGCAAATTAGTTTCTAAGCCTGAAATGTAAAATACATCTTGAATCACCACAACTCTCTCTTCCACCTTCATCTTTACAATTCCTCTTCCCAAAACTTGAAGTCTTGTCCCATTTTTGAGTTTCGCAGTACATGTGAAGGTACTGTCAAGATTAAAAAAACCAGTGTCGAGCTCCACACATGTGATTGCTGCAACTAGAATCAGAAAACCACCAACTATCAGGTTTCATGGTTTGCATCTTCTCTAGAGTTGGTTCAGTGTAGGCCATGAGAAGTATCCCTTCTCTCATATCAGCAGACCAACTGTAGTAATGGATTTATTGATTCCATTCAGGGCATTCATCTCGAAACTGCCCAATTTGTGGCATTTATAGCACTCAACTTCCTCTTTGCTTTTGAATCTGCCACAACAACTACGTTTACCAAGAATAGTTAAACTTCTCTGTTAGAGTCTTGATTATTTTCTCAACAATCTTGACATTAGCCATCGTCTCTCCGCAATTTCTCATAGCATTGTAGACTACCATAACTCTACAAAAATAGTCATTCACAGTCTCTCTCTCGTTCATCTTTAGAACCTCAAAGTCACGTTGTAGAGCTTGAAGTTTAGCACATCTTACTTTAGAACTCCCCCGGAACTTGGTCTTCATACAATCCCACAACTCCTTTGCAGTATCCTTCTTTGTAATTGTCTTTTGAATGGCTTTGTCGATTGAGCCAAAGAGATAGTTCTTGGCTTTAAGGTCTTTAAACCTCAAATCTTCAAGGGTTTTGATCTGAACTATAGAAACTCCAGCTGCTAGTTCTGTAAATCCTTTGCTCACTACTCCCCAGCAATCGTCGGATCGAAACAAATTTTCCATTAAAAGGCTCCAGTAATCATAATCACCATGTTTTGCAACAATGAAATGGAAATGCAATGTCCTCTTGTCAAAAAAAAAATCATAATCACCATCAAATTTCGGGATACAAATTTGAGCAATATCACTGATTTCACCCATGATATCAACACACAACTCATAGTTTCACAATGATGATAAATCTTACCAAGCTTCTCGTGTTTCACTAACACCCAGAAGCAATCCTCACAATCAATTACTCGTGTTTCCGAATACCAGTCTGAAAATCGCAGACTCTCAATCACACTCATAGAAATCGTGGTTACAGTTTGCTATTGGCTATGATACCACATGAAGAGACCAAATGGCTACAAACTGACAAAAATATTATTGAATGATGAAAAATAGCTTATATTACATCTGCCAAGTACGATTCCCAATCTCCCACTTCTAACCACTAACCCATATCCTTGAAAAATAGCACCACTACTGAACTACTTTGACTTCTGCTGCTAACTAATTCCTACTTAGTTATTAAGCCATCTAATGACTCTTAACTCCAAAACGACTAGAAACAAAACACTCACTAACAAAGCACCCATGTGGCTAATTATTCCAACACGAACCCCATCTCTGGCCACCTCAAGAGAAATAGATTGAGAGATAGGAAAAAGCTACCTAAAGCCCTTCTAATTCAACAAACTGGGCTTGCAGTGAGTAATAGTAGAAAGACCCTCATGACGAGGTTAAGCTTTCTACACCTGCAGTTTTATTTCGATAGAGAACACGAGGAAAATTTATAAGAGGAAGCCGTCTTACCAATTTGGTTGCTTGTTCTTTTGTTTGATTTTTTTTAAATAATAATTATATAAATTAATAAATATCCATGTGACACGATCAAATGATCGATTCTTTGCCCCGCCATCAATCAACATCCAACTCAGCGATTAAAGTGTCACACAATTGACCAGATTATATTTACCCAATAATCAAATCAATACATAGTTGTCACATGTATGTCCACTCATCATCTTGTAATCAATCATTTAAAAGCAAAACAAAAAGACAAATAAGGAAAACAAAAATTAAGTCCCTAACTAAACTTAATTCCAAATTATAATCGTCATCTTGTGAACAACAGATATCGTCCTCACATTCATAAAAAAAAAAAAAAAAAACTTCGAAATTTTTAAAAAGAAACTTCATAAATTTGGACCATAGAAAGCTATTTTGTTAATTCCAGAATATTCACAAAGAACTTTCCCAAAACCTTTGGCTAATAAAAATTTACATTTGATCACTTGTGCCACAAATTCTAAAATCCTTTGGTGAATCTTGTCATCATACACCCGACAATTCTGAAAACCAGATTTTCACAGAGACATTTTTCATGAAGTTTTAAGACAAATTGTCGTCTCTCTATCCCCCAAAACAAGACAAAAATCGGAGATCAAAGAAAAAAAACTCATGATCAATAATCAGGATGTTAATCGAGAACAAATTACTAACCAGTCCAGCCCCACAACCTCAATTCATCCTCGCCATTTCCATCCTGCTTTTAACCCTCCTCCCACAATGTTCATCCGAGATTAAAAACACCCACATCGTCGCCGATCGCCGCTCTCTGATCCTATTCGAGCAGTTCGGCTTCTCCGGCAACGGCCACGTCGACATCTCCGTCATGAACGTTTCCTGGAAATCCCGTAACCCAAATGCCCAGCCACCCAATCTCTCCAACATGGGTTTCTTCATAGCTCGAGACATCTCAGTAATCCTCAATGAATCCTTTTACTCCTCACCCGAGGTCGCCGCCGCCGCTCGTACCACCGCCGCTGCTGCCGCCATGGACACTACTTCTTCTTGCATTCTCTCCCGCCAATTCGCCCACGTCATATTCCGATTCGACACCCTCACCGCCAATAATTCCACATTCAACGCCTCAATCGCCAATCCCGGATCTTACAGCCTAATGTTCGGCAACTGCCAGCCCGAATTCGAAATCTCGATGCACGTCCACACCGAGATGTACAACATCGAAGAATCTTCCGGCGAGAAAGTCTATCTCCCCGTGGGACAAACCCTTCTCCCTTATTTCTATCTGGGGTTCTTCTCAATCTACGCCTCGTTCACCCTCTTCTGGGCATTCCTCTGTTTTTGCAAGCAGAGGAGCCAAAACGCCGTCGTCGGTAAGATCCATCTAATCATGGCGGCTCTCCTCCTCGTCAAATCTCTGAAGCTAATCTGCGCCGCGGAGGACAAGCTCCACGTCTCCAGAACCGGCAGCCCGCATGGCTGGGACGTGGCGTTCTACGCCTTCGGGTTTCTGAAAGGAATCATGCTCTTCACCGTCATTGTTCTCGTCGGCACGGGATGGTCTTTCCTCAAACCCTACCTCCACGAACGTGAAAAGAACGTTCTGATGGTCGTTTTCCCACTCCAGGTGCTCGAAAACATTGCCAATGTCGTGATCGACGAGACGGGGCCGGCGACGAAAGACTGGGTTGCGTGGAACCAGATTTTCTTGTTGATGGACATCCTGTGTTGCTTTGCGGTGTTGATGCCGATCATGTGGTCGATAAAATCACTGAGAGAGGCTTCGAAGAATGATGGGAAGGCTGCGAGGAATCTGGAGAAGCTGACCCTTTTCAGGCAGTTCTATTTGGTGCTCGTTGTGTACCTGTATTTCACCAGAGTTGCGGCGACGGCGATTGGGTCCGTGATGGGTTACAGGTTCGAGTGGGTGAGGTATTTCTTAGGGGAGGCTGCGAGCTTGGTGTTTTATGGGTTTGTGTTCTATAACTTCCAGCCTGTCGAGAAGAACCCTTACTTTCGGGTTGAAGAAGAGGAAGTGGGTGGGCAATTGCTGGCCAAGGTTGAGTTGTTTTGAGGGGTTACGGTGTTAATTGTACAATAGTTAGCACCGTCCTAACCAAGGGAAAAACTACTACTAGTTTAAATTAATAGTGATTTAGCTTAGATGTTGTATTGATTTTATAATAATCCGTAGTGATTTTTGCTAGTTATCACGGTGCTAACCCCTATAACCCCTATAAGGGTTAGCACCTAATCCCATCCCGTTGTTGTCTTGCCATTTCTAGACTGAAAGAGGAAGATGTACAGATGAAAAGTTTGTGTTAGTTTCTATATTCTAGACTTCTAGTTATCAAAGAAGGACGTATAGTAAGAATGTTTAGCAAATGATTTGCAGCAACAATTTCTTGTGAAGGCGGTCAATTTTTGGTATCTTACAAAGCCATTATATACATACTTTTTTTGATGAGCATTCTATTGTCAAATAATCTTAGGGTTAATTGCATGGTTGGTCACTTATATTATAAAAAACGTTCATGTTTGGTCACTACAAATATTTAATTTCATTCGTGATCATTAAGTTTACTAAAACATGTCATATTTAGTCACTCTCTGTTAGCCTCCGTTAACGGCGTCAATTTTTTGCTGACTTGACTAACAGAAATGTCCAGTCACACAATTTTAACCCAGAAAACTTAAAACATAACCCGCCACGTCATAAATCCAACCCAACCCATGACCCAACCTAACCCGACCAAACTAAAAAAGCATTACAGTGATAGAGCTGGGTTATCGCATGAAGGCTACCTGAACCATCGCACAAGCTTCATCTGAAATACCCAGAACCACCGCCGTCTCTGCCGAAATTGTCCGACTCAACGACGTCACCCAAACCGACAGCGTCATCCACAAAATCGAGCCTCCTCGTCCCTTGGTCTGTCTAGGAAGACTCCAACCGGCGCACGAATCTCGGAACCCCAAACCATAAATTGAAACCACAAAACCCAGCACGAATAAAAACCCCAAAACTCAAAAATGGAAACCCTAAAAACAGAGATCGGGATGGATTCGTCGATTGCGGCAGAGACGGTGGATGCTGGGGTCCCCCTAGGTTGATTGCACTGGCAATCTGCTTGGATTTGTCTGGGTCGCCATCGGAAGAAGAAGAAAAGTTTTTGGGTTTTCTTTGGTTGATTGCAGGGACGATCTGCTTGGGTATGGTTGAGGATACCGAGTAACGATTAGCTCCATGGATTGACTCAATCTGTGGAGCTGGAGGAGTGCGTAGTAATCATGCATTTCGGTGCCGCTGTTGTGGTCCTTGAACTGGAGCTCGGCGGAAAGCATGGTGTCAGCGGCGACGATGATTTGGTCGGTGTATTGGAGGAGGACCGAGTCGGAACCTCTACTCGAATTCCAGGAGCGAACCGCGAACGACTTGGCACCCTGGAGCTCCCGGGAGACGAGAAGCTTCTCGGCGATGGTCAGCCACCGCTCCGTCTCCACTCTATATGATCCGCCGCCTCTTCAATTTTTTTGGGTTCATATTAGTTTTGCAGGTTTCCAATTTTCCCCCTTTCCTTATCTATTTGTGAGCTTAGGGCTCGAGAGAGAGTGAATGAGAAGATGCACGTGGACCATGGGTGATTGAGAAGTCAGCCATTTCCTCAATTTGGAGATGAAGAAAGATGGGGAAGATAAACAATTTCGGGGGAGACGAAGGTTCGGGTCGGCGGGGTCAATTGGAGAAGAAGTGATTGGGTAATGGGTTGGTTTTAATGATGTGGCAAATTTTAATGACGTGGCAGGTCATATTTTATTTTTCTTGGGTTAAAAATGGCAGATTAGGCACTTCTGTTAGTCACGTCAGCAAAAAATTGACGTCGTTAAGGGAGGCTAACGGAGACTAACGGATGGTGACCAAACGTGACATATTTTAGTAAATTTAGTGACCACAAATGGAATTAAATATTTGCAGTGACCAAACATGAACGTTTTTTGTAATCGCAGTGACCAACCATGCAATTAACCCAATAATTTTAAGTTGAAAAAAAGAATACGAAAGTTATTTAATGTGTTATCGTCAGTATCACACTAATCTACGGAGATAATCTCTCTCGGCTTTTTGGTATATTATTGCTTACTTTCAATGTAGTACACAACAACACATATATATGCTTGCTCTACAAACCCGAACTACATGTCATTTACTATTTACAAATCGGTACCTATTATTAGTAAACTAACATCCTCGCTCAAATTGATGTTTGGGGCGCAACATCAATTTCATACTCTTCCTAACCCTACTGCATTTGTCAACACATTTGTAGTCTAATCATCAGTCGATAAATAACTCAATTGCACAACACCCTCAACTACAATCTGTATGATATACTGAACATATACTTCTATATGCTTTGTCCTTTCATGTAGCACTGGATTCACTATAAGCTGAATAGCACTCGTATTCAATGCAGTTAAAAACGCGATTCTATCTAGAAATGGAAAATGGGTAAAATTGTAAAACGTAGAATCAATGCGTAAAAGCGTAAGCTTTTGACGCACCCTCTAAAATAGCTAAAATATGTTAATTAAAACATATAGTATGTAAAATGTGAGCGTGTAGATTTTTTATAAGTGAATAACTACATGAAATTCATAATTAAAATCTAATATCTGACACATAAACTAATTTGTGTTGACTACATGAAAGAGAAGAGTGACACGCTAAAACACAACACCAAACTGCGACCAAGTGCAATCGCAGTCCGGAAATGCAGTAAGTGGCAAGCTCTATTTGTCAACCCGGGGCCTAGATCTACTGCCTACTCCATGATTATTTATTATCTAGCAAACTAAGTCGAGTGATTGTGGTTTTAACTAAAAGCAGTAAGAAAGCAGGAAATGGTTCGAAGTGCTTTAGCAAGGGGAGAGTCACTCGGGAATGAGTCCCCCCAGCTCCTTAGTTAGGTCGAGGTTATAATTACCCTGGGTTGATTAACTATTGATTAAACTAAGAAAGATCCGACAGTAGCTTGGAATCTCTTAAGCTGACCAAGCCCTCTCAGACAGGCTAATCGGCAGGCGACTAACCTTCACCGGGATAGACTGCTGAGGCAATAAACACAAAACTCCACCACTAAAATTGGGTTTCAGTACAAAGCAGTAAATCGATTAACTCTCATATAACCAATCTACCACTACCAATTGATGAAGCTCTAACAACCTAATCAGATTCTATCTATCTCAGGTTGCAGCAGAAATCAAGAAAAGAAGATCAGACTTCAATTGACTCAATGAATCATGCATCAATCGATTATAACCAATCAGTATAACAATCCCAAGTCATTACAATCAATATCCCTAACACATGGAACTAGGGTTCTTCATACCCAAGTGAGAGAGGGTTCTACTCCATAGAGAGAGAGAGGAAAACAGAAATCAGAGTAGTCATAATCATAAAGATGAGGAAAATATGCTCTGGGATGAGGATCTTCACTCCTATGATGATCTCCAAGCTCGATTGATGAAACCCAGCTCCAAAATCACCTCTAGGATGTGTTCTTCGCACTTTCTCTCTCTAAAACTCTGTTTTTTGCTCAAAAACTCGATTCCCTCTCCTTTAGCTAGAAATTGGGTTAAAATCCAGAATTTCCCGACCACACGCCCAGGCCACACGGCCGTGTGGCTTTCCAGTCTGCCCGTGTAGATGTGAAAACGCTGCGTTTCGATTAGTGGACTTCAGGCACGCTGCACGGCCAGAGGCACACGACCGTGTGGATTTCCAGTCTGGCCGTGTGAGCTCCCTGGACTTTCCACACGGCCACAAGGGGTCTCATACACGGCCAGTGTGGCTTGCCCGCGTGATGGAATTCCACATGGCCAAGTCACACGGCCGTGTGGAATTTAGGCCTGCCCGTGTGGAATTTCCAGCTTTTCGTCAAACGTCCCAACTTCGTCCAATTGACCCCGAACTCGTGGCCAAACCTTCTTTCGCGTACTAGGACCTGAAATATCACAAACAAGAACAATCTAGCGTGAAATCGGCCTAAAACACGAGAGATGAGACTCAAACGGTACAGGAATGGTGGATAAAAACATGTGTATATATCAAGTCATCAAAGAGCATGTTTCAGTTCTAACACGTGATGATATTTTCATTTCGACCAAACCATTTTGCTGAGAAACACCAAGACATAACTGTTGAGGCAATATACCTTGAGAAGAATAAAAGTCAAGCAAAGGATGAGAACTACATTTGTCGTCATGATCCGATCAAATAACATTCACCTTTTTTTTACCAAACTAGGTCATCACCATCTGAACAAAGTGTTTAGCATGAGCAATCAATTCGGATTTCTAGCATAGAAAATAGATCCAAGCAAACCTAGTAGCATGATCAATGAAGAGCGCAAAATACCGGTAGCCCATACGAGATATAATAGGGGAAGGATCCCATTGATCTATTTGAAATAGCTTGAACGGTTCATAAATCATTTTACTAGAAGAGAAGGAAGACTTTGAGGTTCAATACTATCATAACTGGGCAGCTCCATGAGTACGATATTTTCCGCTTTGGGCCAAGCCCGCACGCTTTTACTCTTGGGTATCCTCCCCAAAAGGCCTTGTACTAATGAGATTGGTGGACACTTAATTATATACAAGGGTTCTTCCCTTGTATTTTAGATGTGGTACTTGGATTGTCCCATAACAATCCTCCCCTCAAGACAAGGACCATGAACGTCGTGTCTTCGCTTCAGCAATTATCTTGATCCGCCAGACGCCTTGTATTGATGGGCTTCTCGATACAAGGACTTTACCAGACACAAAACTATCTTTGATCTGCTTCCCAAATGCGGAACTCTCTTTGATCTGCCAAGCCCAAATGTGGATCTCTCCTGAATCCACCAAACAGACAAGAATCATCTTTGACCCGCCAGATAATGTAGATCTCAAATCACGAGGTCACCGAATGAGGGTCCCACCAAACTGACGTCCACCGCCCCGAACCGAAACAGGCTCTAATACCACTTGTCATAACCGGGGAGCTCAATTAGTACGATATTGTCCGTTATGGGCCAACCCGCATGGTTTTACTCTTGGGTGACCTCCCCAAAAGGCCTCGTACTAATGAGCTTAGTGGACACCAATATACAAGGGGTCTTTTCCTTGTATTACCGAAGTGGTAATTGGATTGTACTCATAACAATCCTCCCCTCAAGACAAGGACCACGAACTCCGTATCCTCACCTTAGCGATTATCTTGATCTGCCAGATGCCTTGTATCAATGGGCTTCTCGATACAAGGACTTTACTAGGGATGTCAATCCAACCCGTAACCATGGGTACCTTACCCGACCGTAACCAGTCAACGAGGGTAATTACCCGCTTTGACGGGTTAAGGGGCGGGTACGGGTAATACCCGATTTTAAAATAAAGGGTAGGGTACGAGTATGGTAATCGATAATACCTACCCTGTTATACCCGCCCCGCTAACCAAAAGGTCAATTTCCCTAGCCCTAACCCTACCCAGCAGTCGATTTTCCTTGCCTACACACAAGTGAGGTGCTTGCTCAGGCTCTTCTTGAAACTTTACTTGCTTGGGATATTGACACAAAGGTATCTACAATTACCTTGGATAATTGTTCTACTAATGATGCCTTGATGGATGTCATGAAGCATAAGTTAAGCAGTGAGCATTTGATGTGGTCTAGTTCTAATATTGTCTTTGCTGTTTTTGTTTATGTGTGGATTGTTGAAGTTAGAACAAGTATGATGTAGTATGTGTTTATTTGTGTGGATTGTAGAAGCAAGAACAATTATTATGTGTTTGCTGTTTTGATTTGTGTGGATTGTTGAAGCTAAAACAGTTACAAGTATTGAGAATTTTTAATGGACAATAGTATGTATGTGCATATATGTGTATAACTTCATATTTTAGGATTTGTACCCATGGTTACCCGAATACCCGTGGTTACGCGTTGGGTAGGGTATGGTTATATCATTTTCATACCCGGTGGTTATTTGGTCGGGTATTTAAGTAGGCTCTACCCGGTGGGTTAGGAGTTGGTATAGGGTAAACCCGCACCCAACCCTACCCATTGCCATCCCTAGACTTTACCAGACGCAGAACTCTCGTTGATCTACTCTCAAATGCGGAACTCTCTTTGATCCGCTAAGCCCAAATGTGGATCTCTCCTGGATCCACCAAACATACGTGAATCACCTTTGCCCCGCCAGACAAATGCAGATCTCAAATCCCGAGGTCACCGAATGAGGGTCCCACCAAACTGACGTCCACCGCCTCGAACCGAACCAGACTCTGATACCACATATTATAACTGGGCAGCTCCATTAGTACGATATTGTCCGCTTTGGGCCAAGCCCGCACGGTTTTACTCTAGGGTATCCTCCCCAAAAGGCCTGGTACTATTGAGCTTGGTAGACACTTATATACAAGGGTTTCTTCCCTTGTATTTCCGATGTGGTACTTGGATTGTCTCATAACAAATACAAGTGATGCAAGAATGAGAGGAAACCAAATGAGAATCCAACTTTCCTGGAAGTAAATGACTACGAAACATATACAATAACTTGGCCTTGTGGGGGTGACGAAGGCGATAGTGCCACAAATCTAAAATAGTAGTCCGCTAAAAAAAAAACAATGAGCCATGTGGCTTTATAGCAAAAACCAAATCATCAACTGAAGTCTCAAAGGAGGCTTTCGAGCATCCCTTAGAGCACACTTACAAGTCACCTCTTCCTCATCGTATTCGAACTCATCCGACCACTTCATGCCCTTCCCTCTACTTGTCATGAGCTTAATTTTAGGCTTCGCTATTTCTGCATTTGCATGCATTGCAACTATGAAGTCACTCATTGATGGGGCCTGTGGATTTTGGAGGTCCAAATTTGTGGACACCACGGATTTGAAAGTTCCACCTATGTAGATGGGAATTCCTTTTCTCTTTCTCTTTTCGGG